AGAGTCAAGATGAATTACAAATCAACTATAGTCATAGTCTATAAATTAAATGAAAACAAGATAAGGATTTGGTTGAGCTTAGCCAAAGATGATGTTTAATGCTCGTCTTCCATTAACTCATTCCTAGGATTCTATTGAGAAATTAGTTAGAAGACTCCATCACAATCTTGCTCTCCAAGAAGCTTGACCTAGCTAAGTTGAGCTCCACGAAAATGGTGAAATCCAAGCTTCAATCTCTTCACAAATGTGTGGGCTATGGTCGGCCAAGTAAGATGAAGTGAATGGTAGAGAAATTTTGGAGGTTTGATAGTTGAATGTAGAGTTATGGGTGCTGGACGAAAATGAAGAAAGTAGAAAGAAGGAGGAAAAAATGAAGAACAGGATGAACTAGAAAGAGAATGGAAGAGATGAATGAAATGTGTTGTTCAATATGAATAATGAAGGCTGAATGGCATGAAAAAGGTGTTAGTTTTAGTTGATCACTCAATTAAAATAAAAGAAAATAAAATAAAAAGGAAATTTGGGATCATGTCACATTTATTAGGTGGCACTCTCCTATTGGCTTGTAGATGATTTCAATGTGTGTCAAGTTAATCCCATGTATCATCCACATTTTAAGCTAATCTAGTCCATCCAATTAAGAGGAAAAATGTCTAAATGAATCAGCTCTTAACCCCTTGAAGCTTTAACTTCATTTTTCTAATTGATGCACAAGTCACATGTCACCTATACCACAAAATACATGAAATTCAATTAAATAACATATGACATCATAAAATTTGATTAAAGTGTAGAATTAAATTCATATTTAGAAGAAAGAATTTATTAAAATATCTAAAGGTGCACAAAATCATATAAAGGCTTTCACACAAATGCAGACTCAAAACTAAGTCAAAGTAGTACACTTGAGAAAATGTTGACTTTTTATTTAATTTCTTCCAAAATAACATGAATTTGTAAAATCTAATTTGACCATTCTTTTTCTGACTTTAAAATAATTTTTTTAATTTTTCTCATATATTTTGTCAAAAGTTCATTTTTGGATCAAAATATTCCTAGTACACAAAACCTAGTCACTTAGGCAAATTTTCAAATCTAATGCAATGTCATGTGCAGTTTGGGATAATAAAGCCTTATAAATAGTCCTAATTGATATAAAAAAAATATAATAAATGTGTCCTATCATATACCCCATAGCTTCAGGAACATATACTAAGACATTCACCTAATTAGCATCAATGATTAGCAATAAGTTGCAAACCATGCTATGTCCCTGTAAGTAGCTTCCACCACCAACCACCACCTTGAAGCTAGGTACCTTCTCAATGGGCAACTTGAGATGCTTTATGATCATCGAATACACAAAATTATCAGAACTTCCTCCATCCAAAAACATAATAAATACATCAATACTTAAAATCAAATCACAGAAAAGGATGGTGCACTTACCTGAAAACCCTTGCAAAGCTTGTAATGATCAATGATGTTGTTCTAGAGTTTCATCTTGCTTATTTTGAGATTCAAAAGATTGACCCATCTCTACTAGTCCTGTAGACTTTCCCTCATCCTCAGATTGTAGCAACATGTATTACCTATCTTGGCAATGATGGTTGGGCATGAACTTCTCATCACATGTATAGTATAGCCCCTTATCTCTTTTCAATTGCATCTCCACAGAAGTCAATCACTTGATCAATGTTAATAGTTTAATATTGTGTTTTGGCAGTAACGGTGGTAAAGGAGCCTTTTAAGTAGTAGTAATGCATGATCTCGTGTTAGAAGGAACACAGGTTTAAGGCTAGGTAAGCATCCTGTCTAACACATTCATGATATCCCCACTGAATCACTGCCTTTCTCATCATATAACCAAGTTAATGCTGCAGCACTAATTAGGGTAAGGGTTCCCTAACAATTACTTCTCAGCATATCTCCTCCTTGAGCTTACTAGTAAAACAATTATGAAGGGCGTCCTCCGATAAACCCTCAAATTGACTAGCTAGAGTCATGAATCGAGTATGGTATTCATATGCAGATCTACTTTGGCTTAGTTTAAACAACTGGGTCCTAAGGCAGTTAAACTTCATAGGCCTAAATTAAACCTCTATGGCTTTAGCAAGTGTGGCCTAACTTGAGAATTGATGGGTCCTTTGTATCATTTGGAACCAAGCCATTGCCATTCCATCCATGTGTATAGCAGCTATCATGATTCTTTGAGCATCGAGAGTTTCATAGTAGTTAAAAAATTGTTCAACAAAAAAAAACCATTGTAGCTGTTCTGAACCATTGAACTTGGGAAAGTCTACCTTCACTTGCCATAATTGAAAAGGTTGGTAACTCCCAGTCTCACCAGTGACCACATTCTTGAAGTTAGAAGACCTAGAGGCAGAGAGTTGAACTAGATTGTTAAGATTGCACGACATCTTTGAAATAGAGTTCGCCATCTCCCCTAAAGTGTCTTCGATTCGGTCCATATGATTAGTGTAGTTAAAGTCCCTATGGTTACCTAACTCCTTCAAATTTTTGATTTTAGCTAATAGTGATTGAAGGTTAGAGTTCTCCACCATGCTGGATCTCTCAATGTATGTACACACCTTATGTCAAGCTCACCTGCAACTCAATAGATAATCAAGGCAAAAAAAAAAAAAACCACCAAATACTTAGTTGGATAATACTCTAAAGGGTATAATATTATTATATGTTGATAAAAGTTCAGTCATAGATAACAGATTCAGAGTATATGGCCTAAAAAAGAAGAAAAAAATTCAAAGGAGAAGAGATACAGAGAGAAGAGTTCTCTTAACAAAATTATTGAACCTCTAATTCCCTTACACTATTGCTCGTATACCTTCATCCTTGCAAAAACATAACGATTTGTTGAGCACTTTGGTACTATGCCTTATCATTGTATTGTTTAAATTAAAGCTAGTAATTTCGGCTAAGCCTGACGGGCTAGCCTAAAACCGCACAAAAAATAATATTTTTTATGTTCGGGCCTATTTTAGCCAGCTCGAGTACTTAAATAAAAATAATATTTTTATAAAGTATAATAAATATTAATTAATTCTTTAAATTTTATGTCATTTTATACTAAAATGCCATATAATTAAGTGCGTCACTGTAGTTATTTCTTAAAAAAAGTTAAAATATTTATATTTTTATATTTTTATTATTTTTAATCAATAAAATATCTCAAAATAATATTTAAATTATATTTTCATATTTATTTTATATTTTAAGACCCACTTATTTTTTAAAAATTTTTTGAGTCCTATATATCATTTGATTATCTAAAAATATATATTTTTTATTTTTTTGTGAAATAAGATAATTAATTTTAAAGTAAAAAATGAAATTAAAAATAAAATTTGATCATGTTGAATTCTTGACTTTACTACTAGATAAATATAATATATAAAATAATATCCTTAAATAATTATTTGGTTATCATCCATGCCATACTTGATTAAAAATTAATAATAAACTAGAGTAAATATCTCTTATGTGCAGGGGTTAAACAATATAAAAATTAAAAAATAGTATTTTATTTATAATTAAATGATTTTTTATATAATATAATGATGATTATTTTTCTCATATTATTAAAAATAAAAGGTACAGTTTACCAAAATTTATTACAAACTTTAAATTAATCAAAACAATAATTTTAAATTAATAATATAATCATGATTAACTTGATCATAATTAAAATAGTATAATTTAATTATAATATATAAAATATTGATATATGATATGATAAGAACAATATTTAAATAACTAAAACATTAATTTATAAGTAGTGAAAATATTTATGAATAAGTTACATATACTACAACAAAATAGTAATAAAGTTACTTAAGTACAAAATTGACAACTTATTTTTTAATTTTTTAAAGTTAAAATAATATTTTATGTTTAACAGAGTTACTTAAAAATTAAAATTTTTTCAAAAAATAGAGAAAAACATTTTAAAAAATTTCAAGTAATCGAGCTGGCCCAAATAAATTTGAAGCTCAAAAATATTAAAGTTGAGTTTGACTATATAAGTTTTTTTGATAAAATAAAATACTTTAAATTTAATCTGAATAAGTTTAATTTGAATTAAATCTGATCCAATTTAGTCTGATCCACCTAAATTATTGGCCGGAGGTGCTCCCACCATTTTCTCTGCCGCTCGGCCCTCCGTACAGTGTTCGTGCTCTCTGGGATGATCTCTCATATCCGCCAGCTCATTGTTCTCTTTCTCAATCCGGTCTTTTGTAATTAAATCAGAGACTGCACTATGGGCTTCTATACAAACATCTTCCATTCTGGGCCTCATTATTTTGGCCCACATCTTCCATTGCTTTGCTTATTCTGATGGTAATCCTCTATAGTTCATCCTAAATTTCAGACTATTTCATTTCTGGGTCTTTCCTTTTTCTTGGAATATAATATTGTTTCATTGATTTTTCTTTTCTCTGTCTGCTTTCTGAAAAGTTGTGAAACCCATTGCTAGTCCGGTCCCTATTTCACATTTAGTTTTTGTTATGCAATTCACATCTGGAGAAGATGAAGGGTTAGAGAGAGAAGATGAGATTTGGAGAAGGTACAGTAAAATTCAAGTGGCCACACAAAAAAATCAACCTCTGTTCGGTCAAATTAAACAAAGCTGCTGGATTGTACGTTTTGAATAATTAATAATTTATTTTATATCACTCAATAATATAAATTATTCAATGCTTGTTGAAAAATAGTTAGGAACTAAAGTTATGCCTTTATAAAAAAAAAAAATACACATATTCAATTAATTGTGAACTAAATTGGTATGGTTTACATGGCTCTTTACCTACATACGAGATAATGTACTGCCTAATATTTTCATATCATCATATAAAATGGAGAGTTAAGACAGATTCTTCATCTGAATTCTTCACATTCCAATCTGCCGTGAATTCTTTAAACCTGTGAGTTTGATGAAATTCAACAACAAATGATCAAACGCTACGAATAAAGTAAATTCAAGTATCAGAACTGGTAGTCACATATGAGCATTCCGACTCTAATATGACTACTACAAAAGCATAAATTCAAATTCTACTCAAATACAATGATCAAATGTTCTAGTCAAGTGCTATGTTCAAATGGCAATGGGTTGTAAGCTGCATGCTTCAACCATTTCAACAAACTGAATTTATTCTTATATCCTTTCAATGCTACAAACTTTTCCGCGCAGGCTCGAACATCATAAGATGACAAATCGTGCCAACAAATCAATATCACTCATAATAGCCTACACGGTTAGAATTTCAGCCATAATTTCAGCAGCAGAAGTTCCAGGTAATATAAGGGTGTTTACAGCAGTTCTTCTAGCCTTGTTAGGTTCATCTATTCTACTTCTTTCTGCACCAGCTATTTTTTCTGAAGCCGTGACTTTTTGCTTTTTCTTCCCTTCAGATTCAGAATATCCCACCCTTTTCCTCTTACTAGTGTTTCTTTCACTTAGAGCCTCATATGAAGTAATTAAATTCATATTTCGCAAGTGATGGCTAACTGGTCCAGCAGGAGCACCTTGAAGATCTTCTTCACCATTCCCTGATCCTTCCTCTAGGTCTACACAATCACTGGCAATGGATGTACAGTACGCATCATCTTCATCATCCACACTATTAGAGGTTACCACATCCTTGAATAAAATTGCCAATTCTTGAGCAAACAGAAGTGCTTTATACCTAAATTTTGTATATTGGGGATTTTCCTGCATGTTTACGAGTAATCAATATGAAATAATTACACAAAAGAAAGATAATACTAATAACTTCACATTAATTACTTCATACCAATTGCTTTTTCTCCCACCAATCATCTTCATCTGGTGTGTCTACCATGTTCTTTGCACTATCCCACCCAAAACCAGTCTCTGGAAAATAATTTATCCCATGTTGTCCAGTCTTTCCTAAGGTTGTACCACTTGTTTCTGAATTGTCCTTTGTCATATTTTTCTCGGTGAATCCAGAAATAATAGCTTTCCACCCAATCTTTGTAAAGGTAGTTCCTCCCCCCTCCCCTTTTTTTTGAGCAAATGTAAGGATATTTCTTTTACGTTCCCTATGGGTGCACATGGACAGGGCTGGGTTGGGCAAGGCCTTGCCCGATGCCCTGCCCAAAGGATGCATGGGCTGAAAAATGTAGCCCGCTGCCCAGCCCTACCCACAAAATGTCCTATTAACTTGGGCTGGGCAGGGCCAGCTGGGCACCTTTGGGTCGCCCTGCCCATCAAATAATCTTCCTTTCCATTAACTTCAAATGAAACTATCATAAATTAACAACAATGACCCAGCCCATCAACTCAAAATAACATTCATAAAAATGTAAACCATAAATACAAAATAACAACTATGATATCCAATTATTTATAATTCAACATCTAACTTGAAATATAAAACTATTATAAGTCTTGACACATAGTGAAATTATCCATAATGCAATCCAAAATAATAGCTACAATAATCCATTAAAAACAATAAATTTTACAAAAGTTTGGAGTATCATGAAAAAAAAATAATTTCACAGAGTAAACTTTAATTTACAAAAAGCTTCTTCCCAATTCCTCTTTTCATCTTTCCTTAAGTCTTAATAGTTAATATAATTGACCCTTTAAAAAATTTAAAAAATATATTAATGTACTCGGGCTGGGCCAAATGGGCAGGGCATGCTACCCTGCCCGTGGCTCGGCCCTGCCCGAACAATGCCTGCCCAAACATGCCCAAGTCATGTCGAGCAACTTTTTTTAGGGCCGGGTTGGACAAAATTTTATCGGGTTTGGGCGGGCATATTGGGCAATCGGGCTACATGCACACCCCTAACGTTCCCCTTTGTGAACTTGATCTAAGCATTCTCTGATAAGATTCTTTCAGATAAAATTCAGACTTATTCAAGAAAGACGCAGCAGAAGATAAATTAACATTAATTTTATTTGATTTAGTATTTCATTTAGTTTTTAGATATTTCTTTAGATTCTATTTCATTCTTTAGATTTTATTTAGATTCAATATTTTATCTATTTAAATTTTATTCAGTATTTTAAATTTTAGGAGATTTTATTTAGTTATTTAATTATTTAGATTTTATTCATTATCTTAAATAGTTATCTAAATTTTATTTTAAATTGTATTTAATATTATAAATATGACTAGTAACCTTGAAGCTAGCATATCATAATTAATAAAACATTCCTTTAAATTCCTTGAAGATTCTTCTAAACGTGGTTATTGAAAGAGATATAAAATGAAATTTTTATTTTATATCCTCTTAATAGAGTTATTTTTCTTATTGCTTTTAAACATTTGAGCATCTATCAATTTGGCATTGATTACACACATACTGGCTAAGAAACCAATCCTTCTAACAACTTGTCCAACAATGACCTAAAAAATTCAAATTCACTCACGTCAGACAATTAGCAGCAATCACTCGAAAACTTAAAACTCTCAATTTATTAAAAGAAAAGGTATAGGCACTTGAAACCTCTAGAATCAAGAAACCTAGAGATACACACCGCAGACACTATTATGAAGATGAAGAGAGCGAAGATGAGCAAGAAAACCGCAGACGCACCAGATTTCATCGCACTAAAATTGAATTTTCAAAATTCAATGGAGGTGATCCAAGAGGATGGATTTTAAAGGCTGAAAAGTATTTTAAATACTATAACACACCTGAGGAAGAGAAGGTGGATGTGGCATCATTGTCACTAGAGGGTGATTCATTGGACCTTTTTGCTTGGATCAGTCATGAGAAAAGAATCCATTACTGGGATGAACTCATGGCAGCGTTTCAGGAGAACTTCGGACCCCTTGAATACCAAAATCCAAGCGAGTTTCTTTGTAGCATCAAGCAAGAAGGGTTAGTATAGGATTATTGCATAAAATTCACAAAACGTTCAGCACAAGTGAAGAATTGGCCGGAGCATTGCTTGCTCGGCGTCTTCCTGAATGGGTTGAAGGAGGAGTTGCGATCGGACGTACACATCCATAAGCCAAGATTGGTCTACCGAGCAGTGAGTCTAGTGCTGGAAATTGAAAATAAAGTGGGTCTTAGCAAACCCAAACCCAACTCGTTCCAGACCTAAACCCGCTTCAACAACCCGACTTCCTCTCTCGCACGCAACCACCGAGGCTCTGAATATTCTTCATCGTCGAACTCACATAGAATACTAACACCAAACCCCATTATGCCTAGATCTTCAAATACGACATCACTCAAGAACTCTTCCCTGGACGTTGAGCAGTAGCGCCAAAGAGACAAGGATTATGTTTTCGCTGTGGGGACCTATTTTGTCCTGGGCACCATTGTCGAAGCTCTTTTTCCCTCATGAAAATCATGAAAGAGGACGAGGAGGTCATTTCTCCACTCAAAGAAGATGAGAATGCGAATTTACAAACTGAAGGGGCTGAAATTTCATTAAATACTATATTAGGCTGCATTTGGAGTCTAAATTGGAGATAACAATATTATATGCTGCAATAATCGAGTATGTAAAGATGTGAGAGCTGACTATTAAAGAAGATTTTTTCTCATTTTCCTTGGGAGGGCTGATTTGGTGTTGGGCAGTAAGTGGCTAGCATCTCTTTATATGGTGCAAGCTAATTGGAATGAACTCTTTATGATTTTATGGTTAAATGGCAAGAGGTATAAGCTACAAGGAGTCTTTAACACTATTAGAGAGGTTCAATTTAATTCAATGCAACAAATAGAAGCTTTCGTTGACTTTAAACCCTTTACATATTTCAACCCTGAACCTCTATTTGCAGAATTTCCATCTATTTTTGAAGAACCCCCAAACTTGCCACCATTTAAAAATCACTCACATAATATTCCCTTACTACCTGGGGCTAACCTACCCAACTTACGACCATACAAGTACCCACATTATCAAGAGGCTAAGCTTGAGAAGCAAGTCAAAGAATTATTAAAAAAGGGTTTTATACATCCCAATTCCAGTCCATTTGCCAACCCAGTATTATTGGTTGTAAAGAAAGATAGTTCTTGGCATTTTTGTGTAGACTACCAAAAATTGAATAGCATTACAGTCCCAGATAAGTATCCAATTCCCAACATTAATGAGTTATTAGATGAACTATATGTGGCGGTTTACTTTTCCAAACTAAATCTACATGTGGGTACCATCAAATTAGGATGTAACTTGAGGATATTTACAAAACAGCATTTCAGACTCACGTTACACTGTGAGTTCACAGTCATGCTTTTCGGCTTAACTAATGCACTAGCCACTTTTCAAGCAGCCATGAATGATTTATTTCGCCTTTATTTGCAAAAGTTTGTTTGGTCTTCTTTGATGATATATTGACATACAGTTCCTCTTTCCAACAGCATCGAGATCACTTGCACATTGTCTTGCAAACCCTGCAGGAAAGTGTGTTCTGTGTCAATTTAAAAAAATGCTTTATTGGGAGACCACGAATTCCCTTCTTAAGGCACAATATTTCTGCCCAGGGAGTTGAAGCTGAAGCAAAAAAGGTGGAAGCAATAGGTGACTGGCCTACTCCTAAAAATGTGAAGGAATTATGTGGATTTTTAGGCCTAGTAGGTGTTTTGTGAATAATTTCAGGATTATTGCTCATCCACTCACTAAGTTAACTAAGAAGGATGCCTTCTTATGGTCTAAACCAGCTCAGACAACCTTTAATCGCCTTAAACGTGCATTGATGATGGCCCTCGTCCTACAGTTGCCTAATTTTGAGGAAGACTTTATAGTTGAATGCGATGCATCCACAGAAGGAATTGGGGCTATACTTATGCAAAACAATCACCCTATTATGTACTTCAGTAAAGGATTCTCTTTCTCCAAGCGCTTCAAGTCCACTTACGATCGTGAACTCCTAGCGTTGGTTCTTGTGATCTAAAAATGGCACCATTACCTCTTTGGGAGGCATTTTTTTTGGGGTCAAAATAGATCACACTAGTCTTCAATATTTATTACAAAAACATATCACAACTAACACTCAACAACAGCTAATCATCAAACTCTTACCCTTTAATTTTACTATCATCCATAAGGCATGGGTGAAAAATAAGGGGGCTGATGCGTTATCAAGGTGTCCACAACATGTAGATTTTTTTCAAATGGTAGTACCTTTTGCTTTTGAGTTGGATGACCTTTCTTTTGAGTTGACATTGGATCCCTTCACTAATGAAATAATGCAGGATTTATAAAAAGATCCAACTTCTTGACCTAGATTCCACCTGGTTAATCAAAAACTTTTCTATGATCACAGAGTAGTCATTCCTTATTCATCACAGTTGCGACCAAAGTTACTAGTAGAAGCCCATTCTACTACTATTGGAGGGCACGACGATTTTCTTAAAACATTTAAGTATCTCTCAAAGAATTTTTATTGGCTAGCAATGAAAGCAGGTGTGAAGGCATATGTGTGACATTGTGCCATTTATCAGCAAAGTAAGTATCAAACTCTGGCACCAGTCGGATTTCTTCAACCCTTACCCATACCCTTCCAAATTTAGGAGGACATCTCCCTTGATTTTATCACTGATCTTCTAAAGTCTGGTGGGTTTGAGGTTATTTTAGTGGTAGTAGATCGTTTAACTAAGTATGCCTATTTTCTTGCTGTTTCATTTCCTTACACTGCAAAGAAGGTCGCCACAATCTTTTGTGAAGAAATTTTCCACCTACATGCGATACCTCGCTCAATTGTCTTTGATAGGGACCCTATCTTCATGAGCTCGTTCCAACAAGAGTTATTCCGATTAAGCCAGACCAAGTTAAAGATGAATACTGCCTACCATCCACAAACAGATGGTCAAACAAAAGTGGTCAATCGCAATCTTAAAGCCTATCTGCGATGTTTTGCCCATAAGCAACCCAAGTCTTGGCACAAGTTTCTTTACTGGGCAAAATACTCATACAACACAGGTCATCATGCGTCAACCAACCATTCACCTTTCAAGCTGGTATACGGGAGAGATCCTCTGCCCCTGCTTCCTTATGTGGAATGAAAAATACCTGTAGCTAACTTGGAAGATCAGCTTGAGACCAGAGATGCAATGATCCGACTTCTGAAGGATGACCTACACAAGGCTCAAGATCGAATGAAGGCTTATGTTGACAAGCATAGAAAGGAAGTCGAGTATGCTGTAGGCAACGTGGTATAGTTGCGAGTACAGCCTTTTCGCCAACAATCACTTACCAAGTGAAAGTTTGAAAAATTATCACCTTGTTTCTTTGGGCCCTACAAGATTCTTCAAAGAATTGGGAAAGTAGCTTATGAATTGGAACTGCCAGCTGATGCCCGTATTCACCCTATACACCCAACTCATGGGATGGATCCACTACTTACACCAGCTTCCTTACCACTATCAGCAGATTTTGAGCTACATGTAAGGCCTCATCGAGTCATAGATGGACTCATCATCATTCGCTTGAACTATTGGTGGAATGGTATGAGCGACCTATGGAAGAAACAAGCTGGGAGGACTACGACCTATTGCATGCTCAATTCCCTTCTTTTCAACTTGAGGACAAGTTGAGTTTTCAAGATAGGGTATTGATAAGATTCTTCCAGATAAAATTCAGACTTATTCAAGAAGGAAGCAACAGAAGATAAATTAGCATTAATTTTATTTGATTTAGTATTTTATTTAGTTTTTAGATATTTTTTCAAATTCTGTTTCATTCTATAGATTTTATTTAGATTCAGTATTTTATCTATTTAAATGTTATTTAGTATTTTAGATTTTAGGAGATTTTATTTAGTTATCTAGGTATCTAGATTTTATTCATTATTTTAGATAGTTATCTAGATTTTTTTTTTAAATTGTATTTAGCATTATAAATATGACTAGCAACCTTGAAGCTAGCATATCATGATTAATAAGACATTCCTTTAAACCTTTTGGAGATTTTCCTAAGCGTGACTATTGAGAGAGATATAAAATGAGATTTTTATTTTATATCATCTTAATAGAGTTATTTCTCTTATTGCTTCTAAACATTTGAGCATCTATCACATTCTTTGATCAAAATCTCAGCTGCTTTTGTATCCCATGTAGCTTTTGATTTGTCGTTACTCATAATTTCTATAAGCAAATGCACATGAGAAGGAAAACACAAGAAGA